ATCTATCTATCTATCTATCTATCTATCTATCTATCTATCTATCTATCTATCTATCTATCTATCTATCATGCAGTAAGCTCGATGTAATTGCCCAATACTACCAGTAGGGTGAGACAACGCCCAAATTCTCCTTAGTCAAACACAAGGAGCACAAGCGAAGAAGAAGAACCGCACCGTTTACTTCCGGTAAAAATAAAAACGCGTGAAATGAAAACGGCTGAAGGTAATGTTGTTGGTTTTAACTTCAAGGCTTCAGACAAACATTTTACAGCGACTAAACTAAACGAAAAACGTTTTCCTGTTAGATATTTAATGAAAAAGATACTGCTATTGTCGAGTAACATCATATCCGGTGGTTTAGCCACAGATAACTGTGTCGCCTCTTCAGCATGCTCCTCAAGCTGAGCTCACTGGATGAGTTGTATATGTTATGTACACAAAAGTGTCATATTTGACATAAAGAAAGAAACTTACAAAGCGATAGACTTTTGTTGTATATATATATATTTAAAGTTAAATAAAACTAAATCAACTCTAGCAGAAAAAAATAGCTAGGCTAAGTATGTTCAAACTGTAAAAAAAGTCATTTAGTAAGGCACATAAAATTAAAATATTATTCAATGTATAAGGCTTTTTACTAATTTAAAGTGCTTCCACAGCAACTCGGAGGATTTGATCTGACCTTTCTTTTAACCAGCAAATACAGTTACAAAAAAAAAAAAAAAAAAAAAACCTGCAACTTGTGGATATTTCTATACGTCTGAATGAAATGTGTACAATATGAAAGATTTAGTCTGATTTTATTTCATCATCTAAATATAGAGAACAACTTGTGTCATCTTGCAAGCCCTGATTGTTTTTCTTGTGTTTCAGTCATTTGTTTGCAGTCATGACGAGGTGGGCAAGAGCCAATAATGTCCACAGGCAGAAACCAGCAGAAGCGACTCCCTGGAGTCAGCTGAGAGGAAGAGGGGAACGAGCAGGAGGAAGAACAGGAGGTCACGCTGCTGGGGCCACACGTGGAGCTCAGAGGGACCCTCTGAAAAGGACTGAGGCTGCTGGATCTGGCGTGAAGAAACCCAACCGCAAGAAGAAGGACTACACCAACGAAGATGTGAATGGCTTCCTGGAGTACCTGCAGCAGAGCGGGCAGTCGCTGCCTGCAGGGGAGGGAGGAGGGAAGGGGGAAGAGCATCAGCTAAGAGAAGAGGTGGAGGTGGCCCTGAAGAAAGACAGAAGGAGGGAGGATAGGAGGATAAAGAGACAGAACGACAAGAAGAATAAAATGGTGAGTAATCTGAGTTTCCTCTACACAGTACAATCAAATGATATCCAAAAAAAATATCTCCGTTGTTAAAAATGATCTTTCTCTCTCCTCCTCAGGTGTGTTTTAAGTGCAGGAAGTCCGGTCACGGTTTGGCCGACTGTCCCGAGGCTGACCGGGATGAGGAGATGGGCCGAGACATCTGCTACCGCTGCGGCTCCACTGAACATGAGATCCACAAGTGCAGAGCTAAAGTGGATCCAGCTCTGGGTGAGACTTGTCAGCTGGACTCATTTGACCCTTCTGCCTGTAATGCTGCTGTAACCAACATATTCTCCCTTAGGTGAGTACCCTTTCGCTAAGTGCTTCATCTGCGGTCAGACTGGACACCTGTCACGCTCGTGTCCTGACAACCCCAAAGGCCTCTACACACAAGGTACTAAACTATGTTTGTTTTGTTTATTTGATTATCCACAGCTACAGCTTAGCATGCAGAAGCTTTTTTTGAACATTTCTCTTTTAGATCTGCATCAAAATGTTTTTTTTTTACTTAGAATTGTTTCTGATATATATTTCTTTGTTTATTTATTTGATTCACTTCATTGTTTTTTCATTAAATGAGTGCCTGATGAATATTTTAAATGTTTTTTTTAATGCTTTGAGAGATGTTTTTTTCATGCTTTACATTTTATTGAGACTTCTTTAATGTTTATCATTTGTCTCTCAGATCATTATTATTATTATAATTTTTTTTATTTAAGATCAAGAACAAGTTTTTTTTACTGCTACTTTAAACCACATGTACCATATTTGTGAGTATAATGTGTACAATTTAACGCGCATAATCATCCATAAAAAATAGAATAGAATAGAATAGAATAGAATAGAATAGAATAGAATAGAATAGAATAGAATAGAATGCCTTTATTGTCATTACACACGTGCATAACAAGATTAGAGCCACTCCCACAGCAGTTTAAATACACATTAAAAGAAATAGAAAAGAATAGAATAACAGGATAAAATTAGCTAAAATATGCCTATATATCTGCATGTATACATACGTGCATATACCTACAAATATACAAAAAAAATCATCGTCCGGAAGCATCTTTGGTCCATTAAAGACTGAGATACAGCATCTATTTGAAACTATTGACTATGCTTTTATTATACTGTTGGACAATTCTAATGTTCTGTATAGAATAGAATAAAATATGTCTTTATTNTATATACTGTATGTACGTATATGCATGCATGTACCTACATATATATACAACAATAAAAAAGCACAATGAGAGTTGGTTTTAAATTGTAAAAAAATAAAGTTTTGGGTTCTACTGTACATGGATATATGGAGTAAATTTATACTAGTTTTTGCTAATGAACCACCACAATGAATTTCAATATTTTTTGTGTGTATAATTGAAATATTGTGTCGTGGAGATAGATGATCACAATTTCTCCCTCTGCCCTCCTGGAAAATATGTTACACATAGCTCAGCATGTAAATGACAACATAAATTTTTTTCTCACCAGTCGGATGAGGAAAAACATTTTTTTTTCTTGTTGATGGCGGAAATGACAAGAAGACGTGCACATCAATTGCACGTTCTTGTGCGACGGCCCTGATGAGCTGCTCCTCGAGCAGACGAGCTAACAACCAGCTCCTGTTGTTGGACCGGACCAATTTCAACGACATGCAGAAGCTCATGCTCACTTTGCCCCACAAACACACCCACATGTTCCCAAAATAATCTGTTTCCCCAGCAGAGGGTACACTGAAAAGGCTGAAAAAATATTTTTAAGCTCAAAAAAGGATGGGGTCACATTATACATGTATAAATACTGTATGTCTGGTTTCTCAGTGAACAATGTTCCTGCTTTTTTTGTTATAGTTTTCCCGTTCAGCCCTGATGAGATAAACGTTTGTTTGCAGGAGGCTGCTGTCGTGTTTGTGGTTCAGTGGAACATTTTCAGAAGGATTGCCCAGAGCATCAAGCTGCAAGTGAGTGTTTGTCCTCAGATGGTAGGACATTTTTGTCAGAGCATCACTTACTGCACAGTTGTTTTAAAAGGCAAATTTATCATCCAGTCAAACGAAAGGAGGCACCTCTTTGTTGTCACTACAAATCTGTTCATACAGTTGTTGTCTGCAGTTAGCTTAGAAGACAAGTTTTCAGCATTAAAAAATTTACTGTCTCTTTCCATCGTAACAGCTAATTCATTGACTTTGGGTTGGATGTCCAACAATCTGAGCGCAGACCACGAGGAGGTGCACGTTCCAGCGAAGAAGGTCAAACCAAAGCAGCCCAAAGTGGTGACATTCTGACTGATAATCAGAACACCCGAACAACTGTCATCATATAAATCCGGCCTGCTTCACCACCTGGACTGTGATAGTCTGAACACTTCTGAGGAGCTGAAGTTCTTCAGCAAATCTCTGGATGAAGAGACACT